TATTGACTTTATTATATAAGTTCATAATCACCACAGAGAACAGTTCCTAATCCTAAATATTAATATCTTTCATTTTTAATTACAATAAGTGTCCTCTGGTTTATCAGGAACATTTGGCAAGAGCCTTTGTTATGTTAGAAAGTTATTTAACTAGTATTTCAATACTTGTCAGCAAAAATCAAACCACCCAAGATTCCTTAGCTTTACCTCCTTCTGAGTCATTTTCTCTCCCAAACCTCTCCATTAAAATGGAATTGCATCTATCTGTTTAATTAGTTTAATCTGTATATTGAGTGCTTCCACTGAGATTTTTAAAAATGTATCTTTTTGTCTTTTTCCCATTTTGTCATTTTTATGAAAATTGCTTTATCTGATTTTGTAATGTTTCTATTAACTTTGATGACTGATTAGTGGTTTTTTGCAGTCTAGTTAGTGATTTCTGTGTGTGTGTGTGTGTGTGTGTGTGTGACCAAAAATAGGAGGGAACATACTTTGTGTTGGGAATAGAAGCTTTATGCAGATTGCCAGATTATTTTAAGTGAATTTTCAAAGCAATATTAGGAAATTTATCTGTGTACCATTGGATAAAATTGAGGTGTCAAACCTGAAAATACAAAGCAACTATGGCAATTTTTCACTAGGTAAATTCTACCTTGGCTTGTGAAATGAAAAATTAAATTTGTCCAAATTTGTTTGTTTCCTCTTATTTGACCGATAGAGATGTATAAATTGCCCTGATTTCCTTTTTTGCTTTGCCCATGGGCAATTACAGCAGGGAAGTATGTGGCAATTCCAGTTTATAGATTGGGGTGCCTCGTATATCAGGAACCTAAATTTTGTATATAGGTACTACTATTGTATAAGTGCGAGTAGGTAATAATGTGATTAAAAATTTGTCAGTATGAAACCTGTGGACAAAAGGGGCCACATGCTAATTTGACAAGCTCAGGGAAGGCCTGCATGGCAATCTTGCAAACTCAAAGACCTAAAGTAAACCACAAAGGATGGTCTGAAATTAAACTTTGATTAAAGGCAGTTATGGTAGGTAGTCACCTCCTAGGCCAGTATCTTCCCTGACAAGGTCAATCTTTAACTGAGCTTATGGTCTTTTTGCATCTACAATAACATATTGAAATGTCAGAGTAGCTTGTAACTTCCCTTTTTTCTGGACCCATCTGGGCACAACCAAATGCCCTGGGTGCTGGGACAGATACCACAAATTCCTTCATTGTTATCATGTTAATTGTTGACTGTTAACTATCCTGTACCCACCTAAGTAAAAGAAGTATGTGTCTATCATTTTACTCTTTATCCAATCCCAGACTTCCCCCCTCCTTTGCTTTCTCTCCCTCTCTAATCTATCACCAATGGTTTCATGTAAACCACCTACGTCTCCTCCTTTGATTGCAGTGTATAAAATGGATGAAAAACCGCCATTCTTCTTGAAATATTAATGTTTATTGCGTATAACATTATTATATTTAAAATTGTTTTTCTTGAAAATAAATTTTAAAAAGCCATTACCCAGAGCATGATCCCAGGCCATTGAGATTCTGCTTACTGGCAGTTGTCAATTGTTGACAATTTGGCTCAAGTAAACTCACAAAAATTCTTTACAGGTTTGAATGTTTTTACATTAATAAACTGACAACCAATGGGTCCAGGCTGCCTGTATTTAAGCAGAGACAGGGTTGAATCATATATGAGCATTTTTAGTCCAATAATGCTGGCAGTATGGGAGAGCAGCAGGTTATCCACAAAATCTGCTCTGAAACCCCCCATAGCCAGCTGCTTATATTGGGTAGGACAAAGATTACATGGGGAAGTAGGCAAAAGGAGTAAGAATGGGTATGCAAAATGGGTATTACAGGTATGGGGAAGTAGGCATTGTGTGCTGGGAGGGACTCCATTGTTTGGGCAACCTGGTTGTTAATCCTTCCATGATAATAGGCAGTTACTGAATGAGTCTGTTCTGCATTCCAAGGTTGACTCCCAGGTTCCTGGGTGTGCACTACTCCCAGCCAGATTAGAATGTCCTTTCTTTAATCAGAACAAGGCAATCAGAACATATTTAATATAATAAAAGGGTAATATGCAAATCGACCGAACGGCAGAACGAGCGAGTGCTGATCAGCCACAGGCCAGGCTGATGGCTGGTGAGTGCTGCGGCAGTGGTGGGAGCGTATCCTGCCTCGGCGGCAGTTGGACATCCCCTGAGGGCTCCCAGACTGGGAAATGATGCAGGCCAGGCTGAGTGACCCCCCCCTCCCCCCCCCCCACCGCCCCGGGTGCATGAATGTCATGCACCAGGCCTCTAGTGTTTAATATTTCTTATAACTATTGCTAGTTCCCAATATTCTATTTTTGCCCCTAACAAGTACCTTTAAAAGCAATAATGAATTAGTATCTTTTAGTCATTTTCTGTACTTTAAAGAATACTAATAAGCCCAGCTGGCATGGCTCACTGGTTGAGCATTGACCTATGAACCAGGAGGTCATGGTTCAATTCCCAGTCAGGGCATATGCCTAGGTTGCGGGCTCAATCCCAGGTGTGGGGCATGCAGGATGTTTCTATATCTCCTCCTCCCTCTCTAAAATTAGTAAAAATATGGGGAAAAAATACTAACAAGTAAACTGTTTTTAATTAAGTTTTTAAATAAATTTTGTAAAATTTCTATTGATTTTTTAAAATTATTTTATTTGTTTATTTTTAGAGAGAGAGAAACATCAAATGTTGTTCCACTTAGTTATCCATTCATTGGTTGGTTGATTTTTTTTAATTAAATATATTTTTATTTCAGAGAGGCAGGGAGAGAGAGCTTGAAACATCAATGATAAGAGAGAATCACTGATTGGCAGGCTGCCTCCTGCACACCCCCCACTGGGGACCAAGGCGGCAACCCGGCCTTGTGCCCTGACCAGGAATTGAACCATGACCTGGTTCATAGGTTGACACTCAACCATTGAGCCACACAGGGTGGGCTATTGGTTGATTCTTGTATGTGCCCTGACCAGGAATGGAACTCTCAAACTTGGCATACTGGGACAACGCTCTAACCAACTGAACTACCCAGCCAAGGCCTGGTCTTCATTATTTATTTAAAAGTTTAGTATCCCTTGATATTGGGTCCCTGTACAAATTTTAAGGGCCAGGAGACTTTGGGGAAATTATTGAACATTTCTGAAACTTAGTTTTATCCTATCTGATAATAGACAAACATGGTAATTGACCATACCTTCGCTACACCTCCCATTGGCTAATCAGCGTGATATGCAAATTAACCCAACCAAGATGGCGGCCGGCAGCCACAGAACTAGAGTGAGCAGGAGGCTTGCTTGCTCCAGTGATGGAAGAAGCCAAGGTTCCCCGCCTGCCATGGCCAGGCTCTGAGCTCCGAAAGCAACAAAGTTTCAATTATAGAAGCTAAACAAACCCCAGATACCTGCTTTCAGCCGGCCGTGGCCACGGAGCTGGAGTGAGCAGGAGCCGGCTCTCAGCTCCAGTGACGGCAACAAAGTTTCAATTATAGAAGGTTGGGGGTGACCAGGCTGGCAGGGGAGGGCAGTTAGGGGTGACCAGGCTGGCAGGGAAGGGCAGTTGGGGGGACCAGGCCTGCAAGGGAAGGCAGTTGGGGGCAACCAGGCCGGCAGGGAAGGGCAGATGGGGGTGACCAGGCTGGCAGGGGAGGGCAGTTAGCAGCAACCGGGTCACCAGGGGAGGGCAGTTGGGGGTGATTGGGCCAGCAGGGGAGGGCAGTTGGGGGCAATTGGGCCAGCAGGGGAGCAGTTAGGCGTCAATCAGGCTGGCAGGGGAGTGGTTAGGGGGTGATTAGACTGGCAGGCAGAAGCGGTTAGGTGCAATCAAGCAGGCAGGCAGGCGAGTGATTGGGAGCCAGCAGTCCCAGATTGTGAGAGGGATGTCCGACTGCCGGTTTAGGCCCGATCCCACAAGAATTGGGCCTAAACCAGCAGTCAGACATTCCCCGAGGGGTCCCAGAATGGAGAGGGTGCAGGCTGGGCTGAGGGACTCCCACCCCCAGTGCACAAATTTTATGCACCGGGCCTCTAGTTATCTATAAAATGGAATAATGCCAAGCAGAAAGGTTTCAAGAATAAAAGTAAATAATCTATTAATTTAGTCTCTGGTGCTAAGACCTAGGGGTCTGCATTTCTAACCAATTTCCCAAATGATGATTGGTGTAGTACAGGTTCTCAATTTCTAACATGCATCAGAATAATCTGGGGGGCTTGTTAAACATATAGCTGGGCCCCAACTCCAGTTTGTGATTCAGTGGGCCTCAGGTGAGGTCTGACAATTTTTATTTCTAACAAGTTCCTAGGTGATACTGATGCTGCTAGTCTGGAGGCCACTTTGACCAGCTTAATAAAAATGCAAAAAGGGATAATGGTAATTGTTGAGCACTCATTATTTACCAGGCACTATTTTATGTGCTTTACATAGATTACTTCATTTAATTCTCTCTGATTCTATGAAATGGGTGTTATCATTATTATCATTATCCCCATTTTTATAGAGAAGGAAAGTGAGTCACAGAGAAGAGGTTCTGTAACTTGCCCAAAGTCATCTAGCTAGAGACTAACCCAGGGACTCTAGTTCCAGAGCACACTCTCTAAAACATTATTCTGATAAAAAATATCACCTGATGGTTGTGCAGCCCTCTCTTAAAAAGAATTTTTCCTAATTTAAAATAAATATATTTAGTGTTTATTCTTATGTGAGCCTCACACCAAAGGCTGGAGAACCAGGCTTACTTGGGTTCCTGGTTGCAAGGGAAGCCCATTTCAGCATGTTCTAGCCTGGTGTGCCCACAATCCTGTGTTCAACTAGGCTTTTGTAGACTTCATCTTCAATTTTCTTTTTGTTGTTGAGTTGTTTAGATGTCTTAAAAATATTTAAATGAAATATTACTTATTGCATTTGTCTCCGACCATTAAGTTCTTAAGTAAAATATGACATTATATTTTTTCCTCCTTCACAGTCTTCTCAGCCATTATGGCTGTCAAGTGGATTGGTGGACATTCTTCTCCTATTCTCTGCCTGAATGCAAGTTCAGAAGGGCTAGTGGCTTCTGGAGCAGAGGGTGGAGATCTCATGGCTTGGGGTGAAGATGGGACTCCATTGGGACATACACGCTTTGAAGGGGCCAATGACGTTACCTGTGTCTTATTCTCTCCCTCCTGCCCCACCAAACTCTATGCCTCGCATGGAGAAACTATTAGCATACTGGATGTCAGATCCCTCAAAGGTTCCCTGGACCATTTTCATGTGAATGAAGAAGAAATCAATTGCCTTTCATTGAATGAAACTGAAAACCTGCTGGCTTCTGCTGATGACTCTGGAGCAATCAAAATCCTAGACTTGGAAAATAAGAAAGTTAGCAGATCGCTGAAGAGACATTCCAACATCTGTTCTTCTGTGGCTTTTCGGCCTCAAAGGCCTCAGAGCCTGGTGTCATGTGGACTGGATATGCAGGTGATGCTTTGCAAAGAATACTTGGGTAATTTCTAAATGGGATTTGTTAGCAGAATCAAATTGATCAGACTAAATATATCTTTGATTTTTTTTATTTTCTACTAACATGAGCCATAAGCTTTACTTCTAACGCATGTTTTATGCTAACTTGACAAAGCCTGTTAGATTTTATTCACAAAGTAATCATTAATTCTTTAGTCTTTTCTCTGTGTTTTAATTCCTAGTATCTGAGAATTCAAATATTTGATTCTAAACATTTTTTAAAAGGGGGGCATGCTGAAGGAAGAGTTCATCACCCACTTTCTAAAAAATAAAAGTTGGAGGGACTGGGTCTGTTGTTTTATTTTGTTTTTGTTTGGCCAGGGTGGATCTGTTGTTTACTTTAAAATTCTGGGGTGCATTGCCCAGCTGGTGTGGTTCAGTGGTTGAGCATTGACCTATGAACCAGGAGGGCACGGTTCAATTCCTGGTCAGGGAACATGCCCGGGTTGCAGGCTCTGTCCCCTGTAGGGGGTGTACAAGAGGCCCCAAATCAATGATTCTCATCATTGATGTTTCTCTCTCTCCCTCCCCCTTCCTCTCTGAAATCAATAAATTAATATATATTTTTTTTAATTCTGGAGTATGTTAATTGCATATTGTATATTGGTGGCCAGGTTTGGAGCATTATATTCATGCTGAGTTTTGAAAGGAACATCACAAATTAGCTCATATTCAGAGGAGAGTAGGTATATCTAGAAACCCCATTATGTCTGGAACTGTAGGTGTTTAAATTTTGGTTTTCATGAGGGGGAAAAGTGGAATATGCTGGTCTAAATAGAAGTCATAGGGAAGCAGATTTTTGGTTTAATTAAAGAAAACACTCTCACCCTGACATGTGTTGTTCAGGTACACTGAAAGGTGTCGGTTCCCCGGTAGGGGACTTATGGGAGGCAGCTGATCAATGTTCTCTGTGTTCTCTCTCGTTCTCTCTCTCTTTCTCTCTCTCTCCCCCCCTACCACCCCTCCCCCCACTTCTTCTCTAAAATTAGTACAAGCATGTCCTCAGGTGAGGATTGGAAAAAAAAAACAATGCTTTCAAATAGCCAAATAGCTTGAACTTTCCCATGGCAGATGTGCTTTCTCTTGAGAGTAAATCTCATATCACTGGAATGAGAATAATCATGGCTTCTTTTTGGTGAGCACTTAGTACTTGCCAGTGTTTTACATATACAGTGGGGCCTTGACTTACGAATGTCCCGACTAACGAGTTTTTCGAGATACGAGCCGTCTCTGGGCCGATTTTTTGCTTTGAGTTGCGAGCTAAAATTTGGGTTACGAGCCAGCTTCAGATACCCCACCGCTAGTTGGCGCAGCAACCGTCACAGTGAACACCACAACATCAGCCCAGCATCACGTGTCTCACTCGTTCACTGTTGATTTGACATACAAGTAATTTGAGTTACTAGTTCCGTCACGGAACGAATTAAACTCGTAAGTCAAGGCCCCACTGTATTAGCTTTCATTCTAATTATGCCCTGCTAGATAGCTATTTCTTTTTTAATTTTTTTATTGCTTAAAGTATTACAAAGGGTATTACATATGTGTCCTTTTTTCCCCCGCCCTTGACAATCCCCTGGCCTCCCCTACCCCCCAGTGTCTTATGTCCATTGGTTATGCTTATATGCATGCATACAAGTCCTTCGGTTGATCTCTTACCCCCCTCCCTCCTGCCCCCCAACCCTCCCCAGCCTTCCCGCTGCAGTTTGACAATCTGTTTGAGGCAGCTCTGCCTCTGTATCTATTATTGTTCAAAAGTTTATAATGGTCTCTATTATCCATGATAGCTATTCTTTTTTATACATGAGGAAACAGATTCAAATTTAGTGTGCACACAGCTGTATGAATTGGGATTCGAACTGCAATCTCTCTGGCTCCAAAGCCTATATTTTATCTGCATGATATTTCAAGCAGAATACCATGAATAATGTGGTAAAAAACGTTTTTGGTTTGGGAACACATCACTTCCAGAAAAAGAACCATTGTTTATTAAATGACCTATATGCCAACCACTATTCTAGGCATTTCATCTACTTTTTCAACTATATGCAGTATCTTTCTTCTGAGACTCTGTGACTCTGTTAATCACATCAAATATTTTGTCTTTCCACCTTCTTGGCCAGTGATCTTTGCTACTCCCTCCTCTACCTTCCTCACCCCTTCAGAATTTAGAAATAGATGAAGCTGATTTTTGTTTTCATTGTGACTGCCACTTTCCCTCTCTCAGGCTACTGGCATTTAGTAGGCAGAATCAGTGGATGTCCTGCATTGCTGGGATAGTCCCTAAATACTGAAGAATTGTCCTACCCAAAATACCTATTTAGAATTATTCTAAACTTATTGGCACAGTGAGTCTATAACCTCTAAAGTCTTTTTCTACTCTAGGTCTTTTTTATTTTTTAAAAAATATTTTTACTGATTTTTAGAGAGAGGAAGGGAGAGGGGGAGAGAGAGAAACATTGATGTGAGAGGATCGAGCCTGAAACCTGGGCATGTGCCCTGACTGGGAATTGAACCAGCAGTCTTTTGCTGCAAGGGATGATGTCCAATCCACTGAGCCACACTGGCTGGGGCTCTACTCCTAGGTCTTGATCAAGCCCTTTAAGACCTACGATTTTCTACTGTAGTGGTGATAATCTTCCTACTTGGTTGTGCAGAAAGATCTACACAACCAGGTGGATATCTGTTTTAAGTAGGCAGATTATACAGTGTCTCTTCGACTAGTCCTCTTATCAGTTTTCAATCACTGGTTCATTATTTAATTACTAGGCATGGCAATAATGCAAAATGACCTGTATTCTTCAGATTAGAAAAGAAATGGGCATCCAGAATTTGCCATTTGCATCCTGTTCTAGGTAGGAAGCTTTAGTAACGGCAACTGCTAGAGACCAGTATAAGAAATAAATATTTTATGACAAGAAGGCATAGGTCCTTGCTTGACTGCTAAGAATTGTTAAAAGTTCACTGTAGATTACCTTTTACACTGGTTGTGATATAGCAATAGCAGCTAAGACAACGCAACCATGCTTTTAAGAAATTATTTCCTTACTGAAGGTGAAACTCTAATTTCTTCCACAAATTACCTTTTATTACCTTTATACTTTAAGAATATCCAGCCTATAGGGGAGTCTAAGAATCCTATATAATAAAAGGCTAATATGCAAATTGGCCAAACAGCAGAACGACTGGTTGCTATGATGCGCACTGACCACCAGGGGGGCAGATGCTCAACGCAGGAGCTGCCCCCTGGTGGTCAGTGTGCTCCCAAAGGGAGAGCACTGCTCAGCCAGAAGCCAGGCTCATGGCTGGTGAGCGAAGCGGCAGTGGTGGGCCTAAGCCATCAGTCAGACATCCCCTGAGGGCTCCTAGACTGTGAGAGGGTGCAGGCCGGGCTGAGGGACCCCCCTGAGTGCATGAATTTAGTGCACTGGGCCTCTAGTATAGTTATAATATTGGGAGGAAGTTCTTATCAGATTAATTTTGAGTTATTTCTCTCTGAGCAAATGTATTTTATCTCAAGGCAGAAATTTAATTACTACCACTCACAGTAGATATGTTCAACACACCTATCCTTGTTATTATAGAAATTATAAAAATTATATCTTTTGATTTAGATAGGTTTAAGTAATTAGGCAAAGCATACTCAGAGAGTCATAGATTTATTTATTTATTTAACTCTCCAACCCCATGCTCTCCCAAAGGAAGAGAAGAACGGTCATCAATGGGCAATAGCATTGCAAAAGCAACACCAAAAGCCAGCTTCACACTCAGGAGAGAACACTGCACCTCCTCCTCGTGGTTTCAGGTGTTCCACATGTTCAGAGAAACTTCTCTAATAACAAACTGTAGAAATGATCCCTGAAAGTATAGTCTTGAGAGTCCAAACTGTGATTAATTAAGACACTTGAGACCACTTAGTTTTATATTAAATAGATGCAAATAATAATTATAGTGTATGTGAAGGTATATAGAATAACATTAAATAGGCATGCTCGCCATCCAGGAGCACTGGGAGTATGTTCCAGTCTTTCCCTTCCCCCTCTTCTTCCCTTACAGGATCCTCTCTTCTCTCAGTGGCGTGTATCTCCCAACTCTAGGGGACCCCATGAGACTTGGAACTACAGGAACAATGGGCAGCAGCAGCTTGTCCCAGGCTAACCCCCCAAACCTGTCTCCAAAGCCCCTTTTTCTCTGACTTTCCAGTGAGCCAAGCAGCCCCACCTAGGCTCATTTCTTTCCTATAACATTTCTAGAGAACCAAAGCAGCCCCACCTAGGCTCTCTCCTAATGCTGCTTCTATCCAAGGCCCTCCCTTGTTTCACTGTCCCCAGCTTTAATAACGTACTGTACTCTAAAAGTCAAAAGGAAAAAAAAAAGAATGAAATAGTTTTTTCTTTGGAAACCTGAAACCATCATATATTTCTATAGTATACATGACTCTTCCCCCCTCTTCCCCCTTCTTCCCCTCTTCCCCTCTCCCCCCCAATATCCACACCTGGAAAGGTTGTTCTTTTTTCTGGAGTTTGAAAGGTCATTAGTACTAACACAAGGATCAGGATGATGGAGGAGACTTTTTTTCCTTTAAAATTAATCTTTACACTTGATTTTAGCCAAAAGGCTGAGAAGTGATAAATGAATCTCTTATGTGGAAAGAAATGGTTTTTGTAGGGGAAGAAATAGTGTGTGTGTGTGTGTGTTTTTATTGTAGGAGGAGAAATTTTTGAGCAGGGTCACTTTGATATGATTGCATTCACTTCTAAACATTGGCCAGTTGTCCACTTTCTCTCCCTTTTAATGTTTTATAGGATTACTAGAGGCCCAGTGCATGAAATTCTTGCGGGGGGGAGGGCATCCCTCAGCCAAGCCTGCACCCTCTCCAATCCGGGATCCCTCGGGGGATGTCTGACTGTGGGTTTAGGCCCGATCCCTGGGACATCCTTCTCACAATCTGGGACCACTGGCTCCTAACTGCTCACCTGCCTGCCTGCCTGATCACCCCTAACTACCCCCTCTGCCAGCCTGATCACCCCTAACTGCCTCTGCCTACCAGCCTGATCGCCCCTTACTGCGCCCCCCCCCACCGGCCTGGTCGCCCCAACTGCTCCCTCCCTCTGGCCGGCCTGGTCACCCCTAACTGCACCCCCATTGGCCTGGTCGCCCCCTATATGCCCCCCCCTGCGGGCTTGGTCACCCCATACAGCCTGCTGCTCGGTCCTTTGGTCACCCCTCACTAACCTCCCTGCTGTCCTGGTCACCCCACACAGCCTGTTCGGTCGTCCGTTTGGTTGTGATGGTTGCTTGGGCTTTTATATATATAAACTAGGGGCCCGGTGCACAAAAATTTGTGCATTCGGGGAGGGCGTCCCTCACTAACCCCCCTGCCAGCCTAGTTGCCCCATGCAGCCTGCTGTTTGTTACTGTTACTGTGACAGTGTCCTGGCAATTTGCATATTCCTCTATTATTAGTATAGATAACCTCCAGACTTTTTTTTTTTTTTTTAACCCCCAAACTCTTGTATTTTTTTTTTTCTTCATTATCTCTAGTTCTCCTACTTAGGTGATACAGCTTGAACAGGTGGTTGAGAAATTGTAAAACACCTTGGAATCTTTAGCAGTTAGGAAGAACAAAGAAATATGAAGAGAATGTACAGACAGGAACAATTTGGGAATCTTCAATACTTGGAAATGATTCTTGAATTGGTAGAAACTGGGATGGTTATTAACACATATAGATGATTTAGTTAATACAAAAATGTTTAAGCTGCTGAAAACACTTTGGGTATAGTTCATGTTTGGATGTCTTAGGAGGACAATAAATATAATCCAGATATTATGGGGCCTGTGTGAGAAAGAACTTGGGGTAACTGCCAGTACAGTTAAGCTAGCAGATTCTGGAATGTTTATTTTCCTGTGTTCAGGGTGGGGTTTTTTGTTTTTGTTTTTGTTGTTGGTTGTTTTGTGTTAATGTGTTTTATTTATTTATTTATTTTTTTATCGATTTCAGAGAGGAAGGGAGAGGGAGAGAGAGAAACATCAATGATGAGAGAGAATCACCAATCTGCTGCTATTCGTGATTGGACACCCACTCGCCTTAGCAACCTTCCTGTTAATTGCTTTTATAAGTCTTTCTCTTTCTTTAATACTCGCCCGAGGATATTTTTCCCTTTTTTTTTGGTTTTTTTTTTAGAGAGAGAGAGATTATTTTGACATCAAGTTTTAGTACTCATTTTTTGTTATATTTTCTGATTTTTTTTTTATTTTACTTAAAGTTATTTTATTAGTCTGTTGGCTTCACCCTAATAGCAATTACTGTCCACTTAGTATAATGTTATAAATCCAATCCAAAAGGATTTTCAGTTCTTTTCCTACAAGAAGCAGAAAATAAATGTTACTCTATTTCATTTATTTGGAAAGTAGACTTGATGGAAGTTAATCTTGCGTAGAAAACCAAATTCTTAATATCAGCAGTAGTAATCTTATCAATTCAGATCTATGGTTTTGACTATATCTAAACAAAGTCTTGCTTACCCTACTATCCATTTTAAATTGTGAGTCATAATTCAGGGATACTACTAGATGGTAAAATAAAGCTGTATATTCTCTCTAAAAGTATTAAAAATATTTTCCTTTTCAATTTGGTTACTGCAGTGAGAAAACAAATCACTATTGAGTGAAATCAATTCACAAAGCTTATTGTTTCATTTTAATTAGCACTTCATTTAAATAAATTTAGTAGGTCTGAGATCGTGGTAGGGAACAGCAAAAAGCCAAATATACCAAGATGTCAAATTATTCAACATATAGGTTTGGAATTTCTGCTCTTTTCCAGGTATTATACTAAGCATTAGCAAAGATGTATTAAATCTCCAAAAACTGACAAACTATTAATGTTAGTTAATAGAATAGGAATTAAATATGGGAAAGAGAAAAGCGGGCTGGAATAGTTAGGAAAGCCTGCTTACAGAGACAGGGACTTGAGCTAAGCCCCTAGAATGGATAATTTGGGTAATGGGAAAGGAAAGGAAAACATTCCAGATACAAATTATTGCAGTGATAATCCAGATAGTTTATTTTGTTGATTTTTACTTGTAACCAGCATAGACTAAGATTAATAAATTCCATAATCTTTAATTTTATTTGCAGAGAGGGTAGAATGACCTAAAGAAAACTGGCATCTGCTTAATAATTTGGATTACATTTTAATAGTCTTATTAATCGAAAGTTATTCAGGACCTTGTTTTCTAAATTCTATCGTACTGCCCATTGGCATTCTAGTTTTGGCACCAGGGTAGCATTCCACTGCCATTTTGTAGTGCCCTCTAAATTTTTTCTTAATATTGCTGGAAATATATTCTACTAATCAATCTCAGACTATTTTGATGATTTTATTAGAAGCAGAATAAGCATAGTAGTTTAGCAAGATGGCTAGAACTTTATTTGACTGTGTAACATCCTTTTGTTTAAAGGTGATGCTGTGGAACCTTCAGAAAGCCCGGCCACTCTGGATTACAAATTTACAGGAGGATGAAACAGAAGAACTGGAGAGCCCACAGTCACTGGGTCAGCTTTTAAATCCTGCTCTCGCCCATTCTGTGTCTGTGGCATCATGTGGCAATATCTTTAGTTGTGGTGCAGAAGATGGAAAGATTCGAATCTTTAGGGTAATGGGAGTCAAGTGTGAACAGGAATTGGGATTTAAGGGCCACACTTTGGGAGTATCCCAGGTCTGCTTTCTGCCAGAATCTTATTTGCTGCTTACTGGAGGGAATGATGGGAAGGTAATGATGTGGGATGTAAGCAGTGAAGTTGAGAAAAAACAGAAGAGTCCTACAAAACATACCCACAGGAAAAGCACTAAAAGGGCTACTTATACCAACCAGGGTGGAAACACTAATACTTCAGTAACACATGAAGAACAGGGCAAAATTTTACCAAAGCTAAGTATTGAACATGGAGAAAAAGTGAACTGGCTCTTGAGTACAAAAATAAAGGGTTGCCAAAATATATTAGTAGCTGATCAAACTAGTTGTATATCTGTGTATCCCTTAAATGAATTTTAAATCCAATAAAAACATTTGAATAACTGCAGTCAACTTTTTAGGTTTAAAAAAATCTTGTTTCTTTGTTTAAACTGTTTGTCATATGTAGAATAATACCATTCCATTGTATAAATTTTAAGACATTTGAGCAAAAGAAGATAATTGGGTAATACTTCATATAGTGAGTGACATTAAAATTTAGGGGAAGGGAACTAATATTAGCTCAGTACTGAACATATACCAGTGATTTTACATATATTTCAGTTTTTATTCCAAATCAATGCTTTCCCCCTTTGTTTTGGCACAAGAATTGAGACTTAGAGATGTTAAGTAACTTGAAAACCCAGGAAACTTGCAGATACAGTTACTTGCCTGCAAAGGATCTCAGTTGTCTTGTTAAGTCTCCTACCTTAGGGAAGCCCACATCCTGACCCAAATGTGGTCACTACACTAGTTAGAACATAGTTATTTTGGATTCTAGGATGCTATGAGGAGCCTTACCAGGCTGGAAGAGGAAACTTGTTATTGTTTGTTCTGTGTAAAGCCCAGAAGGCTTTAGTGACAATTTACCTTGTGCTGTTTCTAAGAAGGTTTTAGAATCAAATCAGTTTAGTATATTTGCAGCAATCCTGGCCATGATGCAGGTAGGACCAAGAATAAACTGAAGTCACAAATAAGCTCAAGATAATAAGATAGAAAAAAGACAGAAGAGGTAGAAAATAGAGGCCAATATAGAGTATCAATAGTAAACTTTTCATGGCCTGGATTGCTGTCTTCCTTGCATGTTCTTTTGGCTTCTGCTTATACATCCTACTCTTATATTCAAAGTTTTGAAGAGAGAATCTGATTGGTTACCATTATCCTTGTTTGAGGAGAACCCTTTAATAAGCTTCATTTCTGTCAGAACACTTGTTACAAGTGACAGAATTCAAAATTGAATTGGTTTAAGGGAATAAAAAGGAATTTATTGATTCACATAACTGAGAAGTCCAATGATAGCTGACATGTACTACTGGGGTAGCTACGCTGATAGGATGTTAGTCTATAGGTGCCCCTCCTTGTGGAAAGTTTTCTTAGAGGTGAAGAGGTAGAATCCTCACAGTAATTTTGAGCCTGGAACCAGTCATGCCTAAAACAAGTGTATTCCTGGAGCCTCTTTTTTTTAAAAAAAAAGCTTAAGCTATTTGAGCTAGATTTTTTTAACTTACAACTAAAGGAGTCCATTAATTGGGCAATCAGTAAATATTGTTTAGTGATTTCGCTTGGAATTTAAAGAAAGGAGAATATCTTGGCCCTAAAAAATTTATTGACAAAGGACCCTGGCTTGAGTACTGATAGAAACAAGATTCTAATCCCAAGACTGGGCAACTTTCTTGGCCATGTTGGGCTTTAGTTTCCGTATTTGAAAGTGAAGGGTTTAAATTAGATACCCCTAAGGGGATATGCCACTTTTTATTTATTTTTTTTGATATGCCACTTTTTAATGAAAACTTAGATACTGATATCATATCCAAGAAACTTAGCAATAATTCACATTCTTGCTCTTGACCACCCAGTTGTGACTTAATACCACCCTCTCTCACTAGTCTGGTGATAGGAGCTACAACTGCAGAAGACGGGCCCTTAAGCCATGAGCAAGGCTTTATGGAGGTGAAAGTCTGGGGCCAAGTGGGACTTTGTGGCTCAGTCAGGGATCTGAGCAGAAGTGGGTTTCCTTTGTAGCCAACCCTCTTCCTGTGGGGTGCTCCCAGTGGGGAAGATAGCCCCTTCCACTGGACTAAAGTTAATGTTTCTTTTATCAAGTTAATTTTAAAGTAAGTTGCCAGAGGGATATTGTGGAAGAGTAAACAAGGTACCCTACTATCACCACCACCAACCACATAGGCCATATCCCAACCAGAGGAGCAGAATTTTTAAAAAAATATTTTATTGATTTTTAGAGAGGAAGGGAGAGAGAGCTGCCTCCTGCACACCTCTACTTAAAAGCTTCTGCACGGCCAAAGAAACAATTTTCTTTTTAATATATTTTCATCAATTTCAGAGAGGAAGGGAGAGGGGGAGAGAGTTAAAAACATCAATGATGAGAGAGAATCATTGATTGGCTGCCTCTTGCATGCCCCCTACTCTAGTAGGGGGATCAAGCCCACATGTGTCCTTGACCAGAATCAAAGCTGGGACCCTTCAGTCCGCAGGCCGATGCTCTATCCCTTGAGCCAAACCATCTAGGGCCAAAGAAACAATTTTCAACAAAATAAAAAGGCAACCTACAGAATTGGAGAAAATTTTTGCAAACCATGTATTGGATAAGTGGTTAATATCCAAAATTTATAAATCATACAGCTGAATAGAAAAAAATCTTAAGCTGGAAAAAAGACATTTTTTCAAAGAAGATATCCAAATGATTAACAGTGCGTAAAAAGGTGCTGAGCATCACTAGTCATCAGGGAAATGCAAATCAAAACCAAGACCAATTATTACCTCACACCTGTAAAAATACTACCATCAAGGAGACAAGATAAGTGTTGGTGTACATGTGGAGAAAAGGAAACATCTGTGCACTGTTGGTGAGATTTTAAACTGGTTCAACCACTGTGAAAGACAGTATGGAGATTTCTCTAAAAATTAAAACTACCAAACAATCCAGCAATCTTGGTATATATTCAAAGGAAATGAAGACATATGGCCCAGCTGGTGTAGCTCAGTGGTTGAGCGTCACGGTTCGATTCCTGGTCAGGGCACATTCCTGGCATGCAGGAGGCAGCCAATCAATGATTCTCTCTCATCACTGATGTTTCTCTCTCTCCCTCTCCCTTTCTCTCTGAAATCAATAAAAAAATATACATAAAAAAAAGACAGCACTCCCATGTTTATTACTTCTTAAAAATCCTTATTGTTGAAAGTATTAGATATTTTCCCCCTTATTGCAGCATTATTAATAGCCACAATATGGAAACAATCTAAATGCCTCTCATCAAATGAAAGGATAAAGAAAACGTGATACACACACACACACAAATGGAACACTATCCAGCCTTGAAAAAAGGAAATTCTGCCATTTGCAGCAACATAGATAGACCTTCAGCACATTATGCTAAGTGAGATAAGTCAGAGAAAGACAAATACTGTATGACACCTCATGTAAAATCTAGAAAAATCGAAATCATAAAAGCAGAGAGTAAAATAGTGGTTACTAGGGGCTCAGGTGTGGGGGAATGGGAAAGATGTTTAAAGGTACATGTTTGCAACTAATAAGTCCTGGAGACCTAAAACACAGTACAGTGGTTATAGACAAAATATTTTAAGTATTAAACTTGCTGAGACTAGGTTAAGATCTTGTTTCTAACACTAGAAGTTATAATTATGTGATACAGTAGAGGTGTTAGCTAACACTACAATGTCAGTCATCGCAATATAACTATCAAATCAATATGTTGTACACCTTAAACTGATTTTTTTTAAAGGCTGCTGTTATAAAAGTAAGTCTCAAGACAAGTGTCTTGGTGCTCTTTCCAAACTTACAACCTCTCAGTGCCCTTGTATGTGGAAGATTTGGAGCTTTCACATCATTAATGTTTGTCTTGTTTAGATTTATCACTACGAATTTTTCACTTAAAATAAGAATATTTTTCCTTAGGTTTAACAACTTAATGCGTTTTCCACCCTTTATTTTTGTAGTTTAAAAGTTAGGATGTTAGGCCCTAGCCATGTAGCTCAGTTGCTTAGAGCATTGTCCTGATACACAAAGGTTGAGTGTTTGATTCCTGATCAGGGCATGCAGGAATCAACCAAGAATGCCCTCATAAGTAGAATAACAAACTTCTCTCTCTCTCTCGTTAATGAATTTAAAAAATTAAAGTTAGGCCCTGGCCAGTGTTGCTAAATGGTTAGAGTACCAACCTGTACACCGAAGGGTGGTAGGTTCAATTCCCACTTAAGGGCAGGTACCTGGGTTGTATCTGTGGGAGGCAACCAATTGATGTGTCTCTCTCTTATGGATGTTTCTCTCTCACCCTCCCTCCCTCCCTTCGTTCCACTTTCTAAAAATCAATGGGAAAATAAATCCTTGAGTGAAGACTAAGAAAAAAATTTTTTAACTTAGGATATTAGAAATAATACAAACGAGTTATAACTGGGCAGACACAGGTCCCCCAAACCCAATAGAGTCACTCAAAAAAAGTGTCAATAAACCCTCTCCCCAGTGTCCCATTATCAATTTCCCACTCATCAATAGCAGTAGCAAAAGTAATAGGAAGAATTTATCTTGTATGACATGTTATATGGTATCTTTGGTTTGAAAAAAAACTCAAAATATAAAAATTTTAAAATAAATGGTAGGTGATTATTTTAATCTAAAATTTACAAACTGAGAATGCATAAACCAAGTGATGGATATAACTCATTTAGAGAAAAGTTGTATATGAGTCATAACTCTGCCCAAGGTAGTATCAACTTGCCAAATTCAAAAGAACCTTCTTTAAAGCAGTTAATGCTAAATCCATGATGTGAGAAGTGATTTAGTATCAGCAAAACAGCATCAGCCATCATAATACATTAATGTTGACAATTTTATTAGTTGTAATTTGGGTTGTATTTAATATGTAGATTTGTTTTGATTTTATAGTTGCATAAGAGTTCTAAGAAGTTTGTGCCTAATACTGGGTTTGATATTAAAGCAACATTATACTAAAGTAATTTTAGTATAATAATTAAAAATAATAAATCCTAGAAGTCTAATAATTTTTTATTTTAAAAACACACAGCACTGAAGCTTGAGTGCGTGGACTTGTAGATAATGTCCGGAAATCCTCTTTAGTGGCCTTTAGCATCTCCTGTTAAGACTAGGAGTGATGTTGCTGGGGAGCGTAGGGAAACAGCAAGGCTGGAACAAATAGCTTGCTCTGAAAGAAGGTATTCTAGAGAAGCACATGAATTTTCTGTATAAATTCTAAGGTAGCTAGGTAGGGAAACTAGTCACATTATCAATAGGAGACTTTGGGATCAAGAATGAAATCCAGCCCGGCCGGCATGGCTCAGTGGTTGAATGTTCACTATGAACCA